GAGGAATTCAGAGACTGGAGCAGTGGAGTAGTTGCTGGGTAATGTCATGAGATAAATCCTAAACTGAAAAGATTTAACCTGGGTTTATTTATGGTGAGACACAGGAATTAAGTCAATAAAAAATGAAATTGTAAAAATATTTACTAATCCTTACTCATCCAGAAAACTGATGAGATATAGAAGAACAATTCCAAATGAAGGCAAAGTTCAGTGAAGATAAATATGAATGTGGGTAGGGCTTTGCAAATCATTTCTAAAGTTAATCTGGAAAAACAAACAAGACAGACTAGCCACAAGGTTTAGAAGGAAAATAATAATTATCTCATTAAAATATACTGTAAAGCTAAAAAAAAATCTTCCAAGTGATACTGACAAAGAAAATTGACTAATTATAGATCCCATAGGCCAGAAATGCTCACTGAATTAGAGAGTAATCTAGAATTAATAAAAATATCTTAAAATCATATTTAATGGTATGTCTTCTCTGTGAGTATGGCTCACATAATTTGTTAGTGGTAAAAAAAAATAGTTTTTCCTCACTTTTTTTTGTTTTTTTTTGAGGAAGATTACCCCTGAACTAACATCCATGTCCATCTTCCTCTACTTTATACATAGGACGCCTACCACAGCATGGCTTGCCCAGCAGTGCAGTGTCTGCACCCGGGATCTGAACAGGCGAATCCCAGGCTGCTGAAGCGGAATGGACACACTTAACCGTTGCACCACCGGGCCAGTCCCTCCTCAGTTTTTATCACACATCAAAGTAAATTTGAGATGGAAAAATTCTATGACACTCCCAATCTAATGATAAAATAGAAGAAAATAAAAGTAAAACTTGATTAAACATAAAGAAGATCCCCCAAACTCCCCTATCATTCTGACTTATTGTACCTCTCGCACAGCACTTCCTGGACATACTTAATTCAAGCCCACACAAGAGGAGTTCAATGTTCCTATAGAAAGTTATGCTCAAAGGCAGGCTGTTTTCATTAACATTAATGACCGTCAACCTCGAATGAACACTTAATAGGCATGTCCATTATAATAACCTTTGGCTAATCCACTGCAAGAAAGTTTTCGAATTTTGTATATTATTTTCAAATGCTAAATCCTCTCCTCTCTCAGAAGATGACTCTGCAGCTGCTTCACAGAGGCAGCAGAGGCTATCAGATGCAAGTTCCTCAGTTTCCCATGACAGACTCATAAACCCACCAACACCTACACCCTTGCTCTCTTCTTTGCATCTAGTAGACTCAAGGTTCTATCCCTCCTCCTAATTCCAATCCCCCCACCTCTGATTTGGAGTTTATTCACTCTGATCTTCTTAGGAACATAGACCTACTAATTATCCATTCCATTTCCTATATGTTCAATCTCTTCCTCCATAGAAGGTTCCTGTGGATATTCAAAATGCTCAAGTATCTCATATCTTAATAAATTTCTATATGTATTGCATATCCCCATTTGGTGTAAAGACCATAAATTCAGTTTTGGACAAAGATACCGAGTGTCTCTCTCTTCTTCCTCTTTCTTTCATACCCAAACTTAAGGAACCATAAGAGGCAAAGAACATCTAAAAGTAGACAGGAGACTGTTGGCTTCAATAGTCCAGTTGAGAAGGGATCAGTGTTTAAACAAATGGCTCTGGAATGGCTCTGAGGATGTAGCAAAGGGATGTCTTTTAGAGGTGTAAATATAATGATATTGACAGAGACTAGACTGAGTAGTCTTAGAGCAGAAGAGATGTCAGGAAATCTAAAATTGTGTTGTCTCTTCTGGATTAAATGTCTAAATTTCACCAGAAAGACAACAGGCTTTGAAAAGATTTGGTGTATGTTGTAGAGGGAGAAATGACGGATCCAATTCTGATATTTTGAGTTGATAGAGTCTGTGAGCTATCAAAATATACATGACTATGAACTGTTGGAGAAAAGAGTTGGAATTGGAAATCATCAGCACATAAGGTATAGTTCAAAACATTGCTGTTCTCATTTCTCACCTTCCACTCAATCTCTTTTCCTGTCTTATTCTTCTATCCCTGAAAATCCCTTCCTTGGCTCTTTGTTCTTTTTCTTGCACCTTATGTGTAGCTCCTATCTGTGATCATGCTTCACAAATCCCAGTCTCTGATTCATCCACCTGCCTGTTCTCATTCTTTCTCACACTGTAGAGAACTATTCTAAGTAAGCTTATTCTTCTGCTACCTAGATTTCACTAAGAAGAGTGAACTCCATATAAAGGTTAAAAAAGGAGAGGATAAAAAGGAATAGGTGCAGAGAAAAGGGGGTCAATTGTCAGGTGGAAGTATAGACATGAATATGAGCCAAAGTGTTGATATATTCAGTTAGTAAGAACTGTTATAAACTTACTCTACCAGAAGAAGTAACAACGATTAGAAGGAAGGTGATGACTCTTCTATATTCTGCTTTTCTCTGGTTCAACCATGCTTGGGACATTGTGTCCAGTTCAGTGCACCTTGATTAAAGGAACATTTTTGAAACTGTACCACCTAGAAGAAGGTGTTCAGGATAAAAAGTGTCCTGAAAACTCATAATGAGGAACAATTTAGGAAAGTGAAGCTATTTTACCTAAGTGATGCCTTCTAAATATATGACTGACTTTCAAGTGGAAGAGCCAAAACCTAGGTCTACTAGGAGAAAATCACAGATAGATCTGTTTTTGTTCAATATGAATCCTGTATAATCATCAGAGGAGACTTTCTCTCTTGTTAATACTACACTTCTAGAACATGTTGGGGGAAGGCAATAACCAAATTTCCTCACCATCTCTCTCCCTGAGCCTCACGGCCCTGGATGCCCCTGAGTGCCCAGTGTCGTATTAAACACAAAATGCTGTCCCTGTCCCACTATCATCTTTTCATTCTCTGGAATCCCTAGACTGCTTTCCAGATGGATCTTAATCACATATTTGCATAAAGTTCCCAACAATAGAAAACATGGGATCCCTTGTATTCCATGATGTGGGATTGTTGAGACTGTAGAAGATCATTTTCTTCCAAGAGGAACCTATGATTTCTGAATGCTCATGCACACAATACCACCACTCATGACCTTTTGCTTCTTTTACCATGGGAGCCAGTATGAGAATGAGGAGAAGTTTTCCTGTTCTGAGTCTTCTGGCAATTTAGGTGCTGTGCATCCAGCACAGCATTTTTCCCCTCCCTTACCCATAGAACTCACCGACGATGCCATAGATTGGGTCCCACTTAAGGAATAAGCTGCCTGCATCCAGTTACCAGAACTGGAACTGCTTCCTTGGCTGTCATGAAAAAATCTAGAGGATTTTATAATCTGTAGTCAATTCCTCTCACAGTCCCTCCCCCTTCTCCAGCCATTTGGGAACAGTAGTAGTTTGAAATACTGGGACCTAAAGGCTGATGAGCTGGATCTCATGGGAACCTTCACCTCACCTTATTTTAAGGTACTACTGGGTGCCAGTAGTTGAGATGTGAGGGACAGGATTTGAAACTGACTTGAAATTCAAATTCGTATCTACCTCCTTGACTACACAGAACATCCTTTTAAACATAATTTTATACCACTTTCAACTTCCTGAAATGTTATATTGAAACTTTCCAGAATTTCTTAACACAACTGTAGTATTTCCTGCTTTGTATATTATGCTGAATTCAACTCTCATTTGATATCCGCATGATTTGGGCAGCTAATTTACCCTTTGTAAATATCAGTTATTCAACAAGTAGGTTTTTTTTTTTTTTAAGATTTTTTTTTTTTTCTTTTTCTCCCCGAAGCCCCCCGGTACATAGTTGTATATTTTTCGTTGTGGGTCCTTCTAGTTGTGGCATGTGGGACACTGCCTCAGTGTGGTCCGATGAGCAATGCCATGTCCGCGCCCAGGATTCGAACCAACGAAACACTGGGCCGCCTGCAGCGGAGCGCGCGAACTCAACCACTCAGCCACGGGGCCAGCCCCAACAAGTAGTTATTTTTTATCAACTATATGTCCAACATTAGATTAGTCACAGGGATAAAAAGGTAAATAATGTAGTTAAGATCTCTGTCCTCAAGATTCCATTATAGTAATTACATTACATTAAAATATCAGGAACTTCCCATTGTTCGAAAATAAAACCAGTTTTCATAATATGCACTACTCCAGACTACACATGCACTGGACTGCTGGCTTCATGAGCATTACACCCATGTCGAGTTTTTTCCTCATCACTATGGTGTCTCACACAGTGTTTGGAATGTAGTAGAATCAACACGTAAAAATTAATTTTTACAAAATTAATTAAATCATGGTCATAGATAATCTGACTCCTTTCCACCTCCACAGTGTATTTAGAATTTCTGAATGAGTGATTATGCCAGTCACAGATATTATTGAATGTCTCTTGGGGGTTTGTAATGATGAATTTAAAGTAAAAACCATCAGATTCATTGTGTGATTTTCTTTTTCCTTGCCAAGAGAAAAAGAAGAAAAAGGGAAGGGAAGGGAAGAAAAGATTTCTGTTTGTTTTTTTTTTCAACATTTCTATTTCTTTGTTAAAATTCTCATTTGGCTCATGCATTGTTAACCCAATTTCATTTGGTTGTCTGTCTATGTGTTCTTGTAGTTCACTGAATTTCTTTTTAAAAGGATTATTCTGAATTCTTTGTCAGAGAGTTCATAGGTCACCATTTTTTTAGGGTTAGTTATTGAAGTTTTATTAGATCCCTTTGGTGGTGTCATGTTTACATGATTTTTTGGGATCCTCATATCCTTGCAGTGATATCTACATATTGGAGTAAGCAGTCTCCTCTTCCATACCTTATAGATTTGCCTCAGCAGGGAAAGACCTTCATCAGGCAGCTCAGTTCGGGATACTGGACAGGTCAGCTGGTAAACCCAGTGGCCAGATGGGCCTGCTATCATGATCTGTAGTTGGTCATGTCCACTGCCCATGCTCTGAGCTCAGGGGCAGTGAAAGGTCCTGTTCCCTGGCCTCTGCATTCAAGCAGGGAAGCTAAGTGGGCTCACTTGTCAGGTGGAGCTGCTGGCTGTGCTCCACTGTTGGGTGAGCCCACAAGCTGGGCTCTGCAATCACCTCTTGTCAGGTGAGGATGAAGGCTGTGTTCCCCGGCAGAACGATGGCACCGGATGGACTCTGTAATTGGTCCGGCCTGTGGGTTGTGCCCCAAATTTGGTAAGGCCACAGGGTAGGCTTTACAATCATGTAGGCCACTGGCTGTGCTCCACTATTAGGCAAGGTCACTGGCCAGGATCTCTGGTTGAGTGAGGCATTTAGCTGTATGTCTTATCTGGATGAGGCCTGATACTGTGATCCTTAAACTGGCATGGCAGCTCTCCAGGTTTCCTTTTTGAGTGAGCATGCAGGCTATGTTCTGCAATTGGGCAGGGTCACTGGTTGGGATCCCTGCCTGGGTAAGGCCACAGACTGTGTTCAACAATCAGGCACTGCCGTAAGCGGATCAGGATTATAGGCTGAGTTCCAAGGCTGCCCATGGTAACTGTCAGGCAAACTGGTAATGCAGGGCCAGAAACTATGCTCAACAGTTGGGCAGGGCTGCTGACTTGGATCCCTTCCTAAGCAGGACAAAGCTTCCTGGTCAGGCACAACTAGAAGCTATGCTCAACAGTGGGTGGGGCTACAAATTTGTTTTCCTTCCCAAGTGGCCTCATGGAATGGGATCCGTGGCTAGTAAGACCCATTGCTTGGGAACCAACTAATAATTTAGTGAAAGAAGAATTGAAGAAGTTAAAGCTTGATGCAGAGATGGGAAATACTCTTATTAAAAAATCCAGAGAATCTTCCAAGCTTAGAATCAATAGAAATAACAGAAATTGAAAGCAATCCTTTAGTGAATTCAGGAGGTAATTGTTCTTGTATTGCTAGAGCAGCTAGATCAGATTTTTATTCTGTGCACACAAATTGACAAAGAAATCAGCTCCCTATGTAAAATGAAGGCGATTCCTCTATATCTCCAAACCCTGTTATAGCAGTGAAGCCAGAGAAGGAGAATCAGAGTCAGTTCTCCAAGATAGACATAGAGAAAAAGTATAGAAAAGCAGCTCCAGAGATCAGCAAAATACATGGTAGCATCTCTGGTTCTTGGTATGAAAGCTTCTCTATTTCAGCAAAGAAATAAGGAACCCAGCTCACCTCTTCATTTTCCTCTTGACAGCCTGAGGGGAATTCTGCCTGTTAACAAATTCCCACACAATGACCTTCGCAGTCCTACAATCAGGGCATAGGAGCTGTGACCTTCACGCCTCTGAGGAAACTCCCACCAACTACCCAAATCGATTAATTCTCATCTATGAACAGATAGATGAGAGTAAGAATCTACAAATATTGGAGGAAAACTAGCGAAAAATGGAAGGACCAAGCTAAACGAGCAGAAAAACACACCCATTAGAGAAAAGACTGAATATAGAAAAAAAGCACATTTATTAAATCTATAGCACTTAACATTGGTGATCAAGGAAAATAGAGACAGCACACATAAGCATTGCTAGAAATGAAATAGGCGATATACTGGAGGCACAGTAGAAAATAAAATATAAGAATAAAATAGCATAACTAATTTTCTGATAGTAAACTTGAATGACAATAAATATATTTTAAATAAACAAAAATTGCAAACGTTTTCAAAGGAATCTAAAAGGCATACATCAGGCAGAATACATATCCCACTTGGAAGATCTGAGATGGAAAACACACTTTTTAGGCAATAGGTCAATCAGCTGCAACAAAGATTCCCCAAAATACACTGGCTTAAATCAGATACAAGTTTATTTCTGGCTTGGGTTTAAGTCAGGATTGGTGGCCCAGAGTATATCAGGAACACAGCCTCTTCCACAGTGTTGTTCTGCCAACTTAAAAACACATTTTCATCTTGTGACCAAAGGAAGTTTCTTCAGATCCCACCATCATATCCACATTGCAAACATCAGAAATGATGTAAATGGAAGGAGAGAACACACTGCTTCCTCTTATAACCTACTCAGACTAAGTGCCTCTAGAGTCAAGAGAGTGCTTGCCAATGGACAGGATAGACCATAGGCTGGGCTTCTCCAGGACAGCTTACCAGAGTTTAAGCCCAAGAGCTAGAACCAAGGTGATGAGAATGTGTAATTCCTCCTGCAATGAGAACAACTAATACCACACCTCCCTAATTCACCCACATATGCCAACCAAATTAAAGACTTAATTCTCAGTCTCTGCAACAGAAAACAATTTATTAACAGTAAAATTTATAAAGAAAGAAGAAATTGGAAAAACTAACCATCCACTCCACCCCTTCTACCACTACAGAATCCCAGTAGGATCCTCTCATCACTTGAGCATCCTACCTCAAGGTAGCAGTGACTTGGCTTAATCTACTACTGAGCAAAATGTGTTACATTTTAGGAACACAACACAATTAAGCCAGATCTTAGGGTAACATCCAATAAACCGGGTGCAATACACCAATTGTGACAATCTTCTTGTAAGTTTTACCCAGTTCCTATTAGTAAAACTGGAGGTTCTAATTGCCATTACTCCATATCCACATTTCAGAAAAAGAAATTCATTTTTAAGTGGTATACTTGCTTCTACATTTATTAACAAAACTATGTTTACCAATACCAGACTCTAGCACATTTTCTGTTTATTAGATACTGATAATTACATGACTGCTTTTCGTTTGTCAAATTAAGATTTACAAGACATACATATATTCAATACTTGGTCTTATTCTCTCTTTAAACAAAAATGTGAAAAAATTAAAACATACAAACAGACCTTTTTAAAAAGAAATCCGCTATACACATATATATTTCTTCTTTGAAAATAGAGATCATATCTCATTATGCTAAGGACCTATTAAAGTACCTCCCCCACTTAAGTTTATTTTACACACGAGTGCACTCATACTGTGATGAAAGGTGTTTTCTGACATTGTGGCTGTCCCAACTGCTTTGAGAGAGACCCTATTGCTACACACGAGCCCAGTGACGTAGAGCTCACAGCACACAGTCTTTAAAGACATTCTAAAATTAAAAGCAAGCAAAATTTGGGACTTCCCATTCCAATGCCAGATGATAGCATATCCACAGCTATCATCTATTTTTCCCATACCCAAGTCCCTCCATCACAAGGAGTAGAAAAACATTAGGATCAGGAGCAAAAGAAAGTATGGGGAAAATATTTGCAAATCCAGGTATCCAGGTACTTCTCAATAAGCTATGGAGTCAAGTGCCTATGGGTGTTCTTTGACAGAAGACCAGTAGGATTAGAAGGATTTTTTACTGTGGGATGGCCTCTGTTCATATAGCCTACAGCAACCATGGCCTCTGGCAGTGTCTTTCATGAGACTCTGAAGAAAATAATTGGGACATGTTCAGATCCATCCTATTATGTAAAATACCCTGAGTACTCGCTGGCGGATCTGCTGAGTCTTCACCCCATAGACAAGAGGATTGAGTGCAGGTGGCACAAGAAGGTAGAGTGTGGCCAGAAGAACATGGACATGATGGGGTACATGGTGGCCAAAGCGATGAGTGAGGAAGGAGAACATTCCAGGAATGTAGAAGACCAGGATGACACAAATATGAGACCCACAAGTGCTAAACGCCTTAAGTCGGGCCTGAGCCCCCGGTACCTTCAGCACTGCCTGGAGGATGAGGGCATAGGAAATACCAATGACCAGGACATCTAGCCCAACCACAAGCAGTGCCACTGCCAATCCATATGCTCGGTTCACTGTGGTTTCTGAGCAGGCAAGTTTTACCACAGCCATATGTTCGCAATAGGCGTGGCCTATGACAGTGGTCTGGCAGAAGACAAGTCTCCGCAACAGGATAGGGAAAGGGAGGAGGAGGAGGAATCCCCTCACCAGCACTGCCATGCCAATGTGCCCTATGAGCCCTGGATGCAGGATGGTGGAATGGTGCAGAGGGTGACATATGGCTACATAGCGATCCAGAGCCATGGCCACAAGTACACCTGACTCCATGGAAGAGAACGCATGGATGAAGAACATCTGGATCAGACAGACAGTGTACCCAATCTCATGGGCATGAGCCAGGAGCACTGCAAGAGTTTTGGGTGCAGTGGAGGAAGCCAGGACCAGATCGATGCCAGATAGCATGGCCAGGAAGAGGTACATAGGCTGGTGCAAGGATGGGTCAGTCCAGATGATGAAGATAATAGTGACATTGCCCACTAGAGCGAGGAGGTAAAGGACACACAGTGGCAATGCTATCCAGTGCTGGCTTTCTTCCAAACCTGGGATGCCAATCAGGAAAAAAGAAGGCTGGAGTAGCCTCCAGCTGGAATTACTAAGGGCCATCATCAATAGCTCAGAGACTGAAGAGGGAAAAGAAACCAAAATCACGACTGCTTTCTTCCTGCATTATCACATTTTCCAGATCTGGCTACCATCTTCATGAGAAGAGGAAAGAGGCTTAAACTGCAACATAAGGGAATAAGCTACATACAGGGAAGAAAATTTCCTTTTGTTGAGATACAGTTTTTTAAAGATGAGACATCCACACGTATGAATTAGGCCAGTCTAATTTCATTTACAGATAAGAGTAAGCATATGCTGCCTTTAGAGAGCTGTTTAAACTCTATCATTCAATTACTTAGAGTTTGGAATGTCAACTTGAAAGAATAGTCTTTATTACCTCTTGGCATACTGAACACTATAAATCAATCTGTTATTTTTTAAATGAGTCTCCCTCAGTTTCCAGGATACAGTACTCTACAGTACTTCCTCCTATGTCCCTTGTCCCACCACGTTCTCCATCAACCAGCCTTTATCTATTGTTGATTCCAGAGTTCCATCCTTTCCTCTATTCCCTATTCTGTACCTTAGCTCTGATGGAGTTCATTCATTTGCATGGTTTTAACTACGAGTATACTTTAATTTCTTACAAATCTACTTTTCTAAGTCAAATACCTTGCTGAAACACAAATACTTTTTCCATTTCTTCCTAAATATCAATACCACACACTCAACATATTGAAGACTGAATTAACTCACCTGTCCTTCTCAAATCTGATGGATCTCCTTCTCGTCCATGTCTTGGTGCATTACATCACTATCTACCCTCCAAAAGCAATACCGAAACTTGGAAGAAATCCTTATTCATTCTTATCTCTCATCCCTTTTATCTATTCACCGGTTCCTGTTGACTTTACTTTTAACTCCTTTTACATCCACTCATTTTTCTCAACTCCCAATGTCACTACCTTAGTGCACACTCCCAGTATCCCTCATCTCAATTGTTTCCCTTGATCTTGCAGCCTTTGCCATTATACCCTTCAAACCATTCTCCATCCTGAAGTCAGAGGGTTTTTCCTAAAATATAGATGTCATGTCACTTCTGAGGTTAAAATCTTTTAATGAATTTAATCCATGAATAAAATCATACATTTAAGACTGGCATACAAGGTTTTCAAAGGTTATCTTATATAAATTATCCTAAATCAGGTATAGTTATCACTACAGTTACTATTAATAACAAAGTATCACTGAGTATGAGATCAGTGCTCTCTTTCCTTTTTCTTTGTCTCCGTCAATCTGCTTATGTTTCAAATTTTTGCTATGTCTGTCTCTTATCACGACGTGATGATGATTCAGCGTTTCTGATAATCCCATGTTAACAAGAAGTATCAATCATATACGTGCTCTACTTTACCTTCTCCACGTGATTCATCTTTCGAACATTAAAACAAAACACTTGAAACCGGATATGTTTGTGTCTGTATGTTTGTCTTATAAGACAGACATAGTCTGAAATAATTGTATTTTTCTATATAAGGGAGGGATGCACAAGAATACATATATATAAAAGAGTCAGGAATGATTCAGTTCTTGTGGATTATGCATCTATAGATCACTCTGAATGTCTTTTATATAAATCAATGATGACTGCAATATGGCCCCAAAACTCTGAACACGGCAGCTATGAAATCTGAAATGACTGTTGGACACATATCTCCCAGCCTTTGTTTTCCTTTCAGATTTGAATTCACTTATAACTTCAGGTAACAGTGACATGTTTTTATTGAGGCCTTCAAGAGAATCTCATAGTCTTGCAAAAGCTCACATTTCAGTGCTTAACATTTTACATAGAGAAAAAATTAATTCTCTTTCTTAACTACTCCCATTCGACTGCAAATTTCAGCCCATTCTCACCTTTCAGCCAAGGAGTCAGAAAACAGCTGTGCGTCTTTTGGAAGGCCACCCATCATTTTGATAGGAGCAGCAGAGCAGTGGAAAATGAAGCCAAACTACAGTGGGTGAAGAAGATTCATGTGCCTGAGTATAACCTGCCTCTTCTTTGTGCTGCATAGTCTGTGAGTCTAGAGGAAAAGCCTAGAGCTGCTTTTTAAGCTGCTTTTTAATTACTAAAGTAAACAAGAGGTCCCTCAGCGATTCTTAGAGGAAAAGCAAAAGGGACTTTATTCCCATGAACCTAAAAGGGAAGATACATTTAGCTCTCTGACCAGGAAGCAGAGGACAATTAATAAAGAACTAAAGCTGTAGATTCCTATTTATTCATGTAAATTCTGTCCATGCAACCTGCCTTCTATGAAGCTGTCCTCAAATTCTGTAAGGCAGTATGCATGTCTCCTTTTCTTTCCTATTAAATCACTTTACCAGTCGTGTCACTACGCTGAATACCTTGCACTGTAAAACCTGTCAGTGTCGGTCCTTAAAGAATAAGTAGGGTCTTTGCCTTGCTTGTGACAGCATTCCCAGGGAAAATTCCAGAAGTGTCAGAATCTAATTGGAACTCAGGAACATTTGCTAAATAAATAAATAGCTATATGATTACTTAAAAATTACTTAAAAATAAGATGAGTCCATAAAACAACCAGGAACTACGGGAACTTGACAAGACAGACACTAAACTTAAAGGATAGGAATGATATAGCAGACAGTGAGTGTCTATGGGAGATGGACTGATCGAACCTCCATGCTCCTCACCCGAAGTGATACACTGGGTGCTTCATGGAAAAAGGAATCCCAATGAATCTCTCTGCCAAAAGAGGTTATGACAGAATTCTAAGTGTGTGTCAGAAATGAGGACTGCTGTGGTCACTAGTGGTCAGTTCTGCCACAGTGTCTGTCACTGGAAGAAGGGAGGCTCCTCTACGGGCTGTGGCCTGTCTCTTTCTCCTTAATTTCCTCCTTAACAGTGGCACAGACTTTATGATAGTGGTAGAAGAGAGATACAGGGACATAGACAGAGAGAAACTAGGGAAGGGCACAGAAATAGAGGGTTCATTGTGATGAGCTACTAGGAGAGGGAGAAATAGAAATCAAACACCCAGAGGCAGAGTTCAGGCGTCAAATCTGAGACAAATAAACAATCAGTAAGATATCTCCAGTACAAGGGCACTGTTTTCCTGGCCCTGGGCTGTCTTTGAGAATGCATGCTTTAAAGTCTTGAGTCAAGGCTGACAGAGACTCAGCAACATGGAGAGAATTTAGAAAAAGGAAAAAACTCCCAGGCTCAGGAAGTTTCTACTATGGTCCTCTCTCAAGCTGCAGAAGCACCCTGAGTCCCCAGTTCAATCTCCATGACAACCTTTTGTGCTAGCTTAGGAGTAACAGTGATAAACAGGATTTTATATCCAGAAGAGCTACACAGCAATCTCTGAATACCAAAGAGGAAACTAAACACATCATTCAAGGTCAGTGCAGCCAAAGTTTTCCAAGGATATGAAACATGAGTGCTAACTCTGGGAAGACTTGGGTAAAGTAGGCAAATCAATGATTCCTACATGTATCATATGTGATGACTATGATGCCAACCTAGACACATGCTAAAGGCCCCTGTGAATGCCTGAGTTGACCATGAAGGTTTAATGGGATTGGTAAATATTTGAAATTCTCAGGTTAGTTTGCAGCAAGGTGTGTTTTCCGAAGGGCGGAAGCTAAGGGCAATTGAAAAGAAAGGCTTGGTTTTGAGGAGTCAGACCTGGGGAGAACAGCTACTCTGAGACAAGGGGAAATAAACTACTAAGATGTGTTAGACCAGAGGTTTGGAGACGTGGAGCCATAGTAGCCAAAAGAAAATAACTCCTGTCACAGGAACTATGGGAAAGGCAGAAGCTGTCTGTCTACAGCCTTCCCCAAAACCATTGCAAAGAGATATGAAGGGAAGATATATTTTGGTATGGAATACTTCAGAACTGTCCTGTAATGAATGGCATTATTCATCAGAGAAGAGTGACTGAAGCCCTGGGGAGTCTGGAATGCAAACCTGTCCAATCTGCTGGGATGCCCCTGGGATTAAGGTTGAATGGCTCTGCCCCAGAAATTACTTGGCTAAGCACTGACAGCACTGGAGGACTTTTCCCATTTCAGTGTAAAAAGCATTAGACTCTGGAGGATGCTTGAAATAGAGTGGGGAGAGCTTCTAGAACAGCACACCAAAGCAGGGCATCTCAGGGATCTAACTTATTCTAAAACCCCAAATTCCAAGGAGGTCAAGCAAAGTCAGGGATCTGCTCTGAACAACAAAAGGCTGAACACAAGCAGCTGAAGCCAGGAGAGCAGAAGCAGCTCCGGAAGGCATTGCAGCCTGAGAGCCTCATTTATTAGCTATAATAGTTTTTTTGGTGGATTCCCTGGGGGTCTTCTACATACAAGATCATGTCATCTGCAAATAGAGATAGTTTTACTCCTTTCTTTCCAATCAGAATGTTTTTTATTTCAGTTTTTTGCCTTTTCCCTGGCTAGAACCTCAGTATGATGTTGAACAGAAGTGGAGAGAACATCATGTTTATCTTATTCTTGATCTTAGAGGGAAAACTTTCAGTCTTTCATCATTAAGTATGTTGTTAATTATGGAATTTTGTAGACACCTTTTATGAGCCTGAGGAAGTTCCCATCTATTCCTACTTGGTAAGTATTTTTGTCTTGAAGGAGTGTTAGATTTTTTTCAAATGCTTATTCTATATATTGAAATTATAACTTTTTTTTTAATTCTATTGATAGAATATATTACATTAATTGATTCTTGGATATTAAAGAAATCCTGCATTTCTGAGATAAATCGCATTTGATTATGATGTATAATCATTTTTATATATTGCTGAATTTTGTTTCTAGTATTTTCTTGGGAATTTTTGTGTCTAAACATGTATTTTGAATGCCCAAATTATAATATTTTATAACCTCTTGTTCAAAATAGTCTGTCAATTAACCAAATGCAAGTAGTCTTTTAAAACAAACTTATCTTCAAAACTGCAGAGACATAGGACCCTCAGACACAGGATCTTTACAATTGGACTTACCTCATGGCTGAGAGCCAAAGAGACACATGTTCCAGAGACAAGAAGAGAGAAAGGCACTGAGCTCTACATGCCTTCTTTGCCTTTACATTAACCACTCATATAAAGACACTCTTTCTACTCTGGAGAGTAAGTGAAGGATGAACAGAAGCCAGGAGTGTTATGACAACAGATTGGCCTGAACAAGATCAAAACATCAAGAAGAGGGAAAATGTGCCTCCCTAATCTTAGTAAACAATCAAGTAAGATTGTGTTTAGCTGTGAATAAGAGACACTAGATTATAGTGGCTTAACCAAATTTATCTACCTTACATACATACACACACAGAATCAGGCATTTCAGAGCTGTTAAGGCAACTCTGTTCTGCCATCAATAGACCAGGATGGTTCTACTTTCTGCAGCACTATCCTAAACTATGGCTACCATCCTCCACATTCAACTCCATGATCCAGACAATAAGAAGGAAGAAATGGAAAGGGAGCCTCAATAGACTTTTACATCTAGTTGGTCAGAAATGAGTCTGATGTTCATCTCTAGTTGCAAGAAATTCTCAAAAGTTGAGTAATTTAGCTTTCTTATCTCTGTAATCATGGAAAGTTGTAGAAAGATGAATTTGAATGGATGTTGATTGCTCACTCTCAGTAAAAACAGACAATACACATCATGTTCTTTTCATGTATTATTTTCAGAAATGACAAAATATTGAGCCATGAAGAAAGTCTCAAAAATTCCAAAGAGTAAATAAGTTCCAAAGATCTCTGAATCACCATGACAAACTCAGCACTCACTGCAGCTTCCTCCTCTCAGTCCAAAACCTAGCAATACTACAAGATATTCAATAGTAAATCAATCCATAACATCATAAAAAACAAATGGAGAGCCATTTATGAAACATAAAATGTGAGGAAACTCCAAAAGATGAAGGACAACTGTGATGGAATTATGGAAAAGAATGGAAGCCCAAAAGGTTCATGGAAAGGACTGCTACAAAATTAATGTTGATTCACACTCAGAAATGTCTGATACTAAGAGAAGCAGGAGAAAACGAACCTGGTGATTAATGATTAGTACAGTAGGAGTTACCAGGCAGGTCTGTCCTTGTGCACATAAACTCTCGGACCAAGAAGTGGAACAAAAGTCAAGCACCAGTAGTGAGTGTTCCAGAATATTGGAGATTAGTTCAGAAAACAGGGCAGTGACACACATGGTAAATAAACTACCATGCCCCATGAGGCATGAGAAACAAGCTCAATGATAAATCAAGCTTTTAGCACATCCCCTACAACAGGTTGCGTCAAATAAATACAGCAACATTCTGAGATTGCCTATTAGAAAGAAAAACAATCAACCAGAGACTAAGATGGCTAACCTTTAGACAGGTTTCTTCCTGACTACAGGCCCCTGGCCTTCTGTTTTCTTAAAGCATTTCCTTGAGAAAACTTGTAATTGTAAAATTCGTTCTCTGCCCCTTTGCAGTGTGTATACAGCTTCTTCTAACCTCTTGCCTCTTTTATAACCTAGGAATGTCTTTCTCAAGAAACTAAGAACTGTCTCTTGAAATATAAACACCAAAGGAAGTGACATTCCATCTCCCAATCCCTATGGACAGTAGGAGCCTAACTTTTAAAAGCACCAATTAGCAACACAGATCACCTAATCAAAGACAAAAACATTTGCAATCTCAGGAATAATTCAATGTGTTTGACACATACCATTGATCAACTTCCCAATAAAGTCCTTCAGTACTTTTCCACTAGGTCATCCTAGGGATTAAACCCATTCCACCTGACACTTTACCCCAGCCCAACACTGCCTTCTGTTTTAGCAGAACACAGTATTCAGACTTCATCTGTGCACTCTTCCCCATAATCAGCAATAGGATCAGAATAAAATCAACTTCCATTTGGTCATCCTGTCCACTGCTATTTTTCTTTAATACCATTAC